AAAGCATGTGCAACTTATTGTAAGATGGAAAATACTTTAGGAAGCCCAAGAGGCAAAAGAAATCCTTTCACCTACTTCCTACAGGAGCTCCAAATGGCCAGGCTTTTATTTTTTCCAGTCACAAATGCAGATTATTTTTTTCTAAAACTCACAAAGGCCTTTGTGGTACCTATAAATTGATGCAAGAGCACACTGAAATAACGTTTGAGGTTGTATTGCTTGCTTTCTATAAATCTGATGATCAATGACCCCTAGCAATAACATGTTACTTCAAAAATAAAGCATTAAAATCTATCAAACAAATACTTATGAAGTTGCTACTCTGTGTCTATCTCAGATTATGGTTGGGGCATGCTCTGGACTTCCTAGAATTAGGAAGTCAAACTCATGGCAAGTGCTCAATAAATATGTTTTAAATTGAAATCAGTATGACCTTGGAACTGAAGTGTTTTCTCTGAAATAGCCTTTTTTTTAAATGGAAGAGGTAAACCGGGTGATCTAAAGTTTCCTTTCAATTTTTAAGCAACATAACAAAAGAGCACTTTCAAAAATTATTCTATACTCTGGTGGCTTAATCAAGGAGGACATAAAGAATGTATAATCCTGTGCATTGTACATATATCATGCAGGAAGGTGAATTTGTCATGTAGATTATTTCAGTGTAGTAATTAGGGCCACTTACAGGCTCTAGTCAAACAATAAATACATCAAATAACCAGTGAGAATATATAATGGCAAAAATGTATCATTTAGTATAGAAGAATAGAATAAATGTACGTGAAATATAAAGACGCTATATTGACAAAACTATAAAATTTTATTGTAGGATATAAATATGGTGAACAAATGGAAAGATCCAATGTGTTCTTGAATAAAAAGATACAATTCAGTTAAATAAATCTGTAACTTGAACCCCATTTGGATTCTTCAAGGGAAAATGATTAAAGTTAAATTAAAGGTGACTTGTAAGGATGGTATGTTTGAGAAGAAGCAGGTATTTTTGAAAAGGAGAATAATAACATATTTTCCTCAAAAAATATTATATTGCATTATTAAGCTACAAAAATCAAAAGAGTTAGTACTAGTATCCGAAATAACAGATCGATAGAATAGAATGGAAATCCTAAAAAGCATATATTCTTCCAATGTTACGGGATATAATTTCAAATCAGTAGTTATATCAGCCAGACTAGGCTAGGTAATGTAACAATTTATTCCCAAACTCAATAGATTAATACAGATCCTTGAACAATGCTGGGATCATGAGTGCCAATCACTACACAGTCAAAAATCTGCATCTAACCTTTGACTTCCCAAGACTTAACCACTAATAGTCTACTGTTTTTTGGAAGTCTTACCAATAGCATAAACAGTTGATTATCACATTTTATGTATGCTAGATGTATATACTGTAGTCTTACAATAATGTAGCTAGAGAAAAAATGTTATTAAGAAAATCATAGCCGGGCTGGGTGGCTCAGCCTGTAATCCTGCGCCTTTAGAGGCTGAGGTGAGTGGATTGCCTGAGCCCGCGGGTTCGAGACCCGCCTGGGCAACTTGGCGAGACCTCATCTCTACAATAATTCAAAAAATCAGCCAGGCGTGGTAGCGCGCGCCTGTATTTCCAGTTATTGGGAGGTGAGGCGGAAGGATCGCCAGAGCCCAGCAGGTCTAGGCTGCAGTGGCTGGGAGCGGCCACTGCACTCCAGTCTGGGCGACTGAGTGAGACTCCAATTCAAAAAAAAAAAAAAGAAAATCATAAGGCAGAGAAAATGTGTTTACTATTCATTAAGTGGAAGAGGATTATCATAAGGGTCTTCATACTCATCATCTTCATGTTGAGCAGGCTGAGGGAGAGAAGAAAGAGAAGGGGCAGTCTTACTGTCTCAGTGGTGGCAGAGGTGGAAGAGGTAAAGAAGGTGGGAGGGGAGGTAAGAAAGGCAGGCACACTTGATATAACTTTATGGACATATGTTGTGACGTCTGCCCAGCTCTTTTTTATTTCTCTAAAAATGCTCCTATATAGTACCAATCCTTCTTCCACCATTTGTTTTAGTTTCAGTGTCTACATTACAGAAGAGCCTATGTCCTAAAAAAATGTCAGAAACACTCTTTGATAATCAAGCCCTTCTGCCAGATTGTCTAATGTCAGTTTGTTTTCTGGCACTGTTTTTTCTACATCTTCTTCCTCATCATCTGGCACTGGTTTGGAAGCATTCATCTCCATCATGTCGTCTTCTGTTAATACATCTTGTGTGCTATCAATTAGTTCTTGAATTTCTCCAAACTCCATTATCTTGAGACCCCTTCATTCTCCTCCACCATTTTCTTTTTTCTACCTCCACAGACTCTTTCATGATTTTCTTGAATGGCTGTTCTGGAAATTCCATGATGTCAGGCACAACATCTAGACACAGACTTCTCCAGCAGAAATTAATTCTTTCAGGTTTGATGGTTTTCATACTGTTTTTGTTAATGGTGGCATTTTCTTTCTTTCTTTTTAAAAAATTATTATACAGATGTGGGATACAATTCAGGGTTAGGTATACAAACGTTGATTATGCAGGTACCCTTGTTGATGAGGTATACCCCTCCCTTCCCTAACGATTTCCCTCAATTGTGACTCCTCCCCCTCCTCCCGACAGTTTCCCACTATTACCAATCCCTTTTTAATTGTTCAAGGTTCACTTATGAGTGAGAACTTATAATACTCTGTTCTTTGTTTCTGTGATAGATTACTGAGTATGATCAACTCTAAGTCCATCCAAGTGGCTGCGAAGTCCATATGTTTGTCCTCCTTTATGGCTGCATAATATTCCATTGTGTATATGCACCACATTTTAAAAATCCAGTCCAGCTTTGATGGGCAACATGGTTGGTTCCATGTTTTTGCTATTGTGAATAGAGTTGCAACAAGCATACGTGTGCAGGTATCTTTTCTGTAGAATGATTTGAGTTCCTCTGGGTATATTCCCAGTAGGGGAATTGCTGGGTCATACAGAAGGTCAATTTCTAGTTCCTTCAGAAATCGCCACACTGTCTTCCAAAGAGTTTGCACTAGTTTGTATTCCCACCAGCAGTATAGAAGCATTCCTTTTTCTCCACATCCTCACCACCATCTTTTTTTTTTTTTTAATGATAGCAATTCTTACTGGGGTTAGGTGGTATCTCCATGTAGTTTTGATTTGCATTTCTCTAATGATGAGTGAGACTGAACACTTTTTCATGTGTCTTTTGAGAATTGTCTATTCATGTGTTTTGCCCATTTATTAATGGGGCTGTTTGTTTTTTTCCTTTCGGTGCATTTGAGTTTCTTATAGATTCTAGATGTTAGGCCTTTGTCAGATATACAGTTGGCAAATATTTTTTCCCATTCTGTGGGCTGTCTCCCTGCTCTCTTGATAGTTTCTTTTGCTTTGCAGAAGCTCATCAGTTTGATGAGGTTCCACTTACCTATCGTATTTCTTATGGTATGGACACTTAGAATGCTGATCAGGAATTGGTTGCCAGTTCCAAATTCCATAAGGATGTCTCCTGCATTTTCTAAGATTCTTATAGTTTGAAGTTTTACTTTTAGGCCTTTGATCCATTTAGAGTTGTTTTTTGTGTATGGTGATAGGTAGGGGTCCTGTTTCAATCTTCTGTATGTGATCAGCTAGTTTTTCCAGCACCATTTACTGAATAGGTTCTCCTCTCCCCAGTGGTCGTTGTTGGAAGCTTTTGTCATAGATGAATTTGTTGAGAAATTGAGGCTTTGCTTCCAGAATCTCTATCCTGTTCCATTGGTCTATGTGCCTGTTCTTGTACCAATACCAGGCTATTTTGATTACTGTAGCCTCAAAGTAAAGTTTGAAATCTGGAAGTGTGATACCCCCTGCTTTGCTTCTTTTGCTAAGGATTATTTTGGTTATTCGTGGTCATTTATGTTTCCATATGAATTTCTGTATTGTCATTTCCAGGTCTGAGAAGAATTATGTTGGTAACTAAATGGGTATTGCATTGAATCTGTAGATTACCTTTGGTAGGATGGACATTTTAACAATGTTGATTCTTCCTATCCATGAGCATGGAATATTTTTCCATTTGTTTGTGTCTTCTTGGATTTCTTTGAGCAGTGTTTTGTAGTTTTCATTGTAAAGGTCTTTCACTTCTCTGGTTATGAAGGTGCCGAGGTATTTCATTTTTTTAATGGCTATTATGAATGGGATTGTGCTTTTAATTTGGGTATCTGCCTGCTTGTTGCTGGTGTATAGGAATAAAACTGTCTTTTGCATATTTATTTTGTACCCCGAAACTTTGGCAAAGTCCTTTATCAGTGCAAGCAGGTTTTTAACAGATTCTCTTGGATTTTCAAGGTATAGGATCATATCATCAGCAAAGAGGGACAACTTGACTTCCTCTTTTCCTGTTTGGATACCCTTGATATCCTTCTCTTGTCTAATTGCCCTAGCTAGGACTTCCAACGCAATGTTGAACAAGAGGGGTAAGAGTGGGCAGCCTTGTCTTGTTCCAGTTTTCAGGGGAAATGTTTCCAGTTTCTTTCCATTTAGCAATATGTTAGCTGTGGGTTTATAGTAGATGGCACTTAGTATTTTGAGGTACGTTCCTTGTATACCTAGGTGTTTCAGGGTTTTTATCAAGAAGGGGTGCTGGATTTTAATCAAAAGATTTTTCTGCATCTAATGATATAATTATGTGGTTCTTGTTTTACATCTGTTGATGTATTTAATTACATTTATGGTCTTGCAAATGTTGAACCAGCCCTGCATCCTGGGGATGAAGCCTACTTGGTCATGGTGGATGATTTTTGAAAGGTGTTTTTGGATCCAATTTGCTAGAATCTTACTGAGGATTTTTGTATCTATGTTCATAAGGGATTTTGGCCTGTAGTTCTCTTTTCTGTTGTTGGATATTTACTGGGTTTGGGTATCAGTGTGATGTTAGCTTCGCAAAATGATTTGGGGAGAATTCCATCTTTCTCAATTGTCTGGAATACTTTCTTTTTTTTCAGCAAAATAATTTTATTTCCTAACACAAGGTAAACATATACATCCAATATGTGCCCGTCTTGCACGTCTATTCACAAGTGACTTCCACATCACAGCTGCTTTGATATTTAAGCCCGTACTAAAAGTTATCTTGGTTGAGATATGAAAAATGCTTTAAACAGATATCATTCTGAATATATTGAATTGGTCATAGCAGAATTTGCTTTAGTTAGATGAGTTCTAGAAATGTAAAGCTTTGAAAAGCTACTACTTTAACATCTAATTCTTCCAAATGAATAGGATGCAGCAATATCAGTTTATATTCTGGAGATATCTCAGTTTTTCTGGTGATGAAACCACTTATCCACATCTGTTGGTACTGTGCAGGAAGAGTCATATGGTGGTGGTAAATCTTCCACAATGGCTTTGGCAGCATCAGGATCACACTTGAAGGGACTTTCCAATACTGTTGTATTCATGCAACTGATTCCTTTTCCATATGTTTTCTTAGTCACTAATGCTTTCCAGTAGACATGAGTGCTTTTAATAATATCAACTGCAAAGTCCATATATTTAAATTCTGCATTGGAAGCAAACTCATTTTCTGGTTTTCCATCAGGAAATTTGTACCTTCTAAACCAGTCCACAGTAGCTTCTAGATAGCCAGGTTTCAGCCATTTGACATCACCGATGTCATTATAATTGGCTGCATAAGGATCATCTACATTAATGGCAATGACCTTCCAGTTGGTTTCTCCCTCATCAATCATAGCCAATATGCCCAGAACTTTGACCCTGATTATTTCACCTCTTGCACATACCTTGCTTCCAATTTCACACACATCATTTGGGTCATTGTCTCCACAGCAGCCAGTATGTTTATCATTGAGTCCTGGTTCTTCCCAAGTCTGAGGGATGGCACCTTAGTTCCAGATATATCCTTTATACGGGAACAAATTTGCGACATAATGAAGCTTTCCCTTTTTCACATCTTGTTTAATTGGATTTAAAGGATCCTTTATAGCAATCTCCATTTTCGCATTAGACCAGCGTGGTACTTCAACTACCATGTGGAATACATCCTTATCAGCATAAATTGGAACATCATGAAATGGAGATATATATTGGCCTTTTTCATTTTTGAGGAAGACTCGGTACTCAAGACTGAAGGGCGCGGCGCGCTCCTTGCTGCTGAAGCTGCTCATGGGGCCGGAGACCAGCCGCTGCTGCTGCCACAGAGCCACCAGCCCGCACGCGGCACCGACTGACAAGGCTGGAATACTTTCAGTAAGATCGGTATCAGCTCCTCCTTGTACATTTTGTAGAATTCTGCTGGAAATCCATCCGGTCCAGGGCTTTTTTTGGTAGGTAGTTTTCGCATGACAGAGTCAATTTCCTGGGTTGTTACTGGTCTATCCAGTGTCTCAATGTCTTCTTGTTTCAACCCGGGGAGGTTGTGTGATGTCAGAAAGTCCTCCATTTCATTTAGGTTATGGAGTTTGTTTCAATATTGGTGTGCAAAGTAATCTCCGATAGTCTTTTGTATTTCCTTGGCGTCAGTTATGATTTAATCTTTTCTATTTCTGATTGTGTTTATGTGGGCTTTTTCTCTCTTTTTCTTGGTCGTTCTGGCTAGGGGTCCATCAATCTTGTTAATTCTTTCAAAGAATCAGGTTTTTGTTTTGTTGATATTTTCTTTATTTTTGTTTTCTATGTCTTGTATTTGGGCTCTTATTTTGGTGATTTGGTTTCTTCTGCTGTAGTTGGGGGATTTTAGTGGTCTTCTCTTTCTAACTCCCTTAGGTGTTTCGTTAGGCTCTCCACTTGTGATTTTTTCCATTTTCTTGATGTGTGCTCCTAGAGATATAAATTCCCTCTGAGAACTGTTTTCATGGCTTCCCAGAAGTTTTGGTAAGATGTTTCTTCATTTTCATTTGTTTCCAGGAATCTTTTAATTCCTGCTTTGATTTCAGCGTTGACCCAGTAGTTGTTCGGCATCATGCTGTTTAGTGTCCATGTCTTTGTGGGCTTTGGGGAAATGTTGTTGGTGTTGATATTTATTTTTATTTCACTGTGATCTGAGAATGTGCATGGCAAGATTTCAACCTTATGGAATTTGTTTATGCTTGATTTATGGCCAATGATGTGATTGATCTTAGAGTACGTTCCATGTGGTGATGAGTAGAATGCATATTCTGTGATTGTTAGGTAGAATAATCTGTAGGTATCTATTAAGTTCATTTGGTCAAGTGTCAAATTTAGGTTCTGGATCTCCTTGTTGATTTTTTTGCCTTGATGATTTATCTAGGGCTGTTTGTCAGGTATTCAAGTCCTCTGCTATAATAGTGTTAGAGTCAATATCTTTTTTTAGTTTACTTAGTAGGTGCTTTATAAATGCTGGTGCTCCTGTGTTGGGTGCATATATGTTTAGGAGGGATATTTCATGTTGATGAATTGAACCTTTTATCATTATGTAGTGATCTTTTGCTTCTTTTTAAATTTTTGATAGCTTAAATGCTGTTTTGTCTGATATTAAGATCTCAACTCCTGCCTTCTTTTGTGATCCATTTGCCTGGAAACTCATTTTCCATCCTTTATCTTTGAGTCTATGTGTATCCCTTGTAGTGAGATGAGTTTCCTGGATGCAGCAAATAATTGGGTCATGGTTTCTTACCATTCTGTGTTTTTCAGTGGTGCATTTAGTTCATTCACATTCAAGTTGATTATTGAAATGTGATTGTTTACCATCATCTTGAGGTTCTTATAAACTTTTTCCTTTGTTTGCTTGTCTTCTTTTGGCTTTGGAGTTAATGTATGTGTGTGTTTTCAAGTTTCTTGTGCTGTTTTCTCTGTTGATTCTGTGCTCTGCTATTCTCTTGGGAAGTGTGTGGTCATTCTTGTTTTCTTTCTTCTGTGCTTAATGCCTTTTTAAGTGTCTCCTGTAAAACTGATCTGGAAGCTGCATAATCTCTTAGGGATTGGATGTCTGGGAAGGATTTTAATTCTCCATCACTGATGAAGCTGAGCTTGGCAGGTTAGGAAATTCTTGGTTGAAATTGTTTGTCTTTGAGGACTTTGAATATAGGGCTCCAGTCCCTTCTAGCTTGTAGTGTTTCTGTTGATAGGTCTGCTGCTATTCTGATTGTTTTTTCCTGGTAGTTAGTCTGACCTTTTTCTCTTGCTGCCTTTAGGACTTTTTCTTTTGTGCCTACTTTGTGTAGGTGAATACTATGTGTCTAGGGGTTGGTCTTCTCATTTGATATCCTGTGGGGTTTCTCCATATCTCTTGTTCTTGAATGATCACATCTCTGGTGAGATGGGGACAATTTTCTTGGATTACTTCCTGGAATACTTGCTCCAAATTGTTCTCCATTTCCCTTTCTTCTTCTGGGATACCAATCAGGTGTAGATTAATCCTCTTAATATAATTGCACATCTCTTGTAGGCTTTGTTCTTTCTTTCTGAGTCTTCTTTCTATGTTTTTTGCAGATCAGTTTAAATCCATCTTCTGGTTTTTAAGTTCTGAGGTTCTCTCTTCAGCTAGATTAATTCTTCTTTCCATACTTGTCAGTTTGCTATTTATATCCTGGATGAAATTTTTTATTGACCAAATCTCTGCTATAATTTCTTTCAGTGTCACATCTTGTCGTTCTTGAGTCTTATTTACTCTTTCCATTCATCCCCTAATCCCTGTTGTATTCTGGGTCCAGTTCCTGGTGACTTCCATTGTTTGGGCACCAAGGTCTGATTTTTCAGGAGTTTTGTCTTTGGTGCACTTGAAATTGCCTGAGGTCTTCTTTTGTTTTTTCCTTATTTGTGACAGATCTCTTGTTTTTCTCTTTAGTTCTGTTATCCAGTGTCAGTGGAGAGGCTTTCCCTTCTGATGTTTGCTCAGTCCTCTATTCTTCCCTGTTATGGGCTCTTGAGTTGTTCTATTTTCAAATAGGATGGTGGATGGGAAGCTTTGCTGTCTCTTGTAGTTTTTGAATTTTTGATAAAGTAAGGGATGGGCACTAGGATTCAGAAACTGCTTGAAAATTGCAATGTTCACTTATTGTGGTATGTGTTCCCTAAGACCCACTCCCCACCACCACTCTGTATGATGATGCAAAGCAGAAACCAATGCAAAAACCAATTGAACACACACACACAGACATACACACACACCCCCAAACAAACTGCATTGACAGCAAAGTGAAACAAAAAAAAAACAACAAAAACACCCCAAGAAAACTAAATGCACGCACACATGCCTAGCACACATGCCTAGCACAAAGTGAATAGAGAAGAAAAACAGAAAGACAAGAGTGGGGGAAAAAAAGGAATTCAAGTCAAACCTTCACACATATATTGACATATACCTTAAACTATAAAAAATGAAAATAAAAAACCCCAGAAGAACAAAAGAGCAAAAATCAAACCAACAACAACAAAATTGAAAGATGAACACTCCATCATTCACATACACACATAAACAGGAAACAACATATAAAATAAGAAACAGAAAAAGAAAAGAAAATTTGGAAGGGATACAGATCAAATCCTCATATACACATTCATGCACATAGGAAAAATATTTAAAGAATAGATGAAGTAACAGTCAAAAAAATTTTAAATTAAAAGAAATTGAAAACTTAAAAACAAACCTGCCCTCTTGTGGCAGGTTCTGCAATTGTTCCTCTAATCAGGTCTCTTTTGCAGCGCCACCTCTTTTACTCTCTCCTCAGTGTCAGAGGTAGGTAAGGAGGAGGGGTAGTGAAGGTAGGTAGGACTGCAGTCCTCCCCTCCCACTCTCGTATAGTCAGGGAGATCTCCACCGGTCAGGAGGTACGGGATTGTGTCTTCCTCAGGTATGTACTCATGGAGTGGGGGAGTGGAGTTCTTCTATTGCGACTTACATCCAGGCTCTGCCTGAGTTTGTCCCTCTCAGTCGTGGCCCAGCTGTGTGGGTCTGATGTTCAGAGGCTTGCTGGGAAGGAGGAGGTTTGGGTCAGCCCTGGACTTACCACTGATCTCTTTGGAGTTCTTATCCTTTTCTGGGCACACCTTTGTCCTTTAGCTGGATCAGGGTAGGGAGTGGGGCACTGGGAACTCAAACACTTGGCAGGTCCCTCCGAAGTTTGTGCTTTCAGGATATTCTCTCTGGGTATGATTAATTTCTGAGGAGTTGATCTGCCAGTCACAGAGATCAGGTCTGTTGCTCTATGTTGAGCAAGTTGGAGCACTTTCCTGCCCCACCTTTGCAATGGTGGTGGGATCCTCTTCCGTGGAACTTTGCTTCTGGACTCCCTCCGCAGACCCTGCTGCCAATGCCCTGCCAGGTGCTGTAGTTGTGAGGCAAAGCCAGGAACTGGCAGTCTTTCTCCTGCTGCAATGGTGAGAGAGAGCCTGGGGTGATGGTTTCTCCCTGCCAATTTTTCACAGGAAAACTTTTGTCCGTTTTTGAAAAAATAATGGCGCTCAACTTCTGCAACCTGGGAAGAGCCAGGTACGATGCAGAGATGCTGCAGCACCAGCTCTTGCATCAGGGGCCTGGTCACTTGTTCTCAAGCTCCCACTTAGACAGTCTCTCCCAGTATTTTCTTTGCAGGGAGGGTTTGTTGATTTAAAAGAAAAGAAAATGGCACTTGGCTTCTGCGTCCTGGAGATTGCTAGGGTCCAAGTCCAACAGCTGTGGCACCAGCCGCTGCACCAGGAGAGCCCTGGCTGCTAGCTCCCTAGCTCTCACTCAGTCAGCCACTCACATGCCCACTTGTTTACCAGCACATACACAAAATTCACTCACTCACACGGGAATTTGCATAGTCCGACTGGCTCAGCCGCCATCTTCTCGACTTCCCCTGATGGCATTTTCAATGGTGTAATCCTTCCAGACTTTCATGATGTTCTTTCTGTTGGGGTTCTCTTCCACAACACTGGTAATCCTTTCCATAGAGTGCCATGTATAATGAGCCTTAAAAGTCCTCATGACCTCTTAATTTCAAGGCTGTATTGAAGACATTATGTTTGGAAGCAAGTAGACCACTTTGATGCCTTCAGTGTTGAACTCATGGAGTTCTGGGTGGCCTGGGGGATTTTTCTATATCAAAAGAACTTTAAGAACTTATCTTACTGGCAAGACAAATCATGACTTTAGGGACAGGCATCAATGGAATTGATTCAGAAAGAGGATTCTTATTCAACTCTGTTTGTTGTACAACCAAAACACAGGTAGCTGGTGTTTATCTTTTTTCCTTCAGGGTTCAGGAAATTAGCAGCCTCATAGAT